ACTTCGACAGGTTAAAACAAATCCAGCAACACTGCCCGAATGTGCCGACAAATCCCGATAGGAGCTGCACATATCTCGTTCTCAGGGCACACTCAGATGAGCTCTCCATACAACTAAAACCAAACCTCGAGTTTCCCCGAGGGGGCGCTGCACAGGACTCTAATTCGGACCAACACTCAGAGGAGCACTGGCCCGGGGGGGGGGGCTAAAATAAGATGACCCTCGGGATCTGGAAACCCAAGGGAAAAGAGGCTAGGTGACAAATGGTAAAACCAAGGTTGGGCATTGCTGGAAAAGCTTTAATCAAGGCGAACTATCAAGGGGTTCCCATTATAACCCAACCGCGTAAGGAACGCAAAATCCGGGAACATAACACCGATATGACGGGAACTAGGGCGGCAAGAGTGGAACAAAACACTAGGCGAGAGGCCCAGCCTTCCACCCTTTACCAAGTGTATAGATGCATTAAGATAAAAAGATAATATAATGATATCCCAACAAGTAAATAAATGTTCCAACAAGGAACGGTCTCCAATCTTCACCTGCAACTAGCAACGCTATAAGAGGGGCTGAGCAAAGCGGTAACATAGCCAATCAACGGTTTGCTAGGACATGGTGGGTTAGAGGTTTGACATGGAAATTTGGGAGGCTTGAAAACAAATGGTAGGCATCGTAGCATTGGCATAGCAAAAGAGCGAGCATCTAGCAAAGCAAAGATACTAGTGATTTCGAGGGTATGATCATCTTGCCTGCAAAGTTGTCAGAGTTGACTGGATCCTCGAAAGCAAACTAAACGGGCTCCTTGTTAGCAAACTCGTCTCCCGGCTCTACCCAAACAAGAAAAACAAGCAACAAGGACACAATCAACCACGTGCAAGGATCAAACAACAAGTTGCAAACATGGTATGCTATGCGGAATGCAATGCGGGATGCATATGCAAGATTTGACAAGGGATGCATGAACCTGGCCTTAACTTGGAAAACCAAGTGTTCCACTGGAAAGATGAGATGAAATCGCTTGAAAACGATATAAAGAACGCCGGAATCGGAGTTACGGTTTGGAAATGGCAAGCGATTCAAATATGATCACGTTCTGCGATTTACAGCAAGTAGCCATCTAAATGCAACGAGATGAACATGCTACAGTACCCAAACAAGGCAACAAAATACATGGCGGGGATGCATTCATGATGCTTAACAAAAGTCTAGCACTGAGCTACGGCCAATTCATCCATTAACAGGTTCAAACAAGTATGGCAAAAATGCATATGACAAACAGATTTCAGACTAAGTGAAATTAACACTTGTTTGGAATTTCAGATCAGATAGCACTCTTCGGAGCAACAAAACTATATGCTACAGGACCCGAACATGGCAAAGTAAAGCATGGCATGGAGCTACTCAAAGAGCTTAACAAAAGTCCCTTAGTGACTTTGAGCCAAAAGGGATCAGAAAATACAATTGAAAGCATGTGAACATGGCAAAAACATAATCAGTTCTCAGACTTAGTGAAAACTGGAGCATGCTGAAACAGATATCAAGTAGGCATGTTTACGAGCTCGATGCACTCACTACGGAGCAAGTCATGACAACCTAAGCATACATTCATCAAGAATACACAAAATACAAGCTAGACATGGCAATAACAATAACATAGCATGCACGGATCAACCACAACATCATCGGCAAAATCGCTAACAAGTAGACAATCTGCCCAGATTCACGAAGTAGCAAAAGTAGAGCTCGATTGACTCAAGCTAGGGTGCTCCATAATTGCAAACAAAGACATGGATGGATAGAGCACTACAAGATTAACAAAATATCCTTACTGATCATTCTCAAAAGAGGCACGGATCACTAGCAAACAACATGAACATATGACCATATGAGATAAACAGGTCAAGGACTTAGTGGAAATGCTAAGTCTCTGAAATCAACATTACCAAGTGCCTCACTTTGCAAGCTTGTGCTAGTCACCACACACATCACAAAAATACATGGGTTGAACTTTTGGAAAGATGGCAAAACCCTTAACAAAACATATGTAGAACTCATGGGCATATCATGCACACAATAATCATGGCAAAAATGACAAATAGCTAAATGGAGCAGCAGATCTGACAATTATCTCAAGTAGCCCTCTTCTAACAGCATTTCGGGCATTAAGATGAACTCAAATGAAAATGATGCAATGGAAAGAAATGATATACTCTCTGAGACGAACATTTTGATATGCTATATGCGCAAAATGGAGCTACGGATGCGGAGTTATAGCACGATGAACAGGAGCATATGGATCTGAGATCTTGAGGACTTAGAAGAAAATTCCACCTCGCGGTTAGGGTTTACTGTAGCTGCCAGATCTGGATCGCGGCGCGCTTCTCGAGGTTGGCCGGAGTTCGCGCCGGAGCTCGACGGAGAGGAAGAAGACGACCGGGGGCGGTCGGATCCGGGCGGGGAGGCGAGGCCGGAGGTCGGAGGAGGCGCTGGCCGGCCGCGGCGGAGCTCGGCTCCGGCTG